AAATGCCCTTTCTTCTGTTTTAGTAGGAGAAGCGTAATTCCAAGTAAATATTTCAATCGACCGAACTATAAGGTATGGCCTCTATTTATTGTTTTAACCAACAATACTTAAACATGTGCAAAGAATATTACATACATCAATATTATGCAAATTAATACAATATAGAAAATACACATGTAGGAATAATAATTAATCGAATTCTACTATAATAGTAAGAAATGTGAGGGTTTCGTAAGAAAAACGCCTGGCCATACCATACTATAAGGTATGGCCACTATTTATTGTTTTAACCAACAATACTTAAACATGTGCAAAGAATATTACATACATCAATATTATGCAAATTAATACAATATAGAAAATACACATGTAGGAATAATAATTAATCGAATTCTACTATAATAGTAAGAAATGTGAGGGTTTCGTAAGAAAAACGCACTGAAACATGTGCAAAGAATAGTACATACATCAATATTATGCAAATTAATACAATATAGAAAATACACATGTAAGAATTAATAATAAATCGAATTCTACTATAATAGTAAGAAATGCGAGGGGTTCATAAGAAAAACGCCCCTTACATAATTATTAGCATTACAAGTGTTACAGAAATTACTGCATGTATATAAAAGTAAATATTGCCTATCTTTGTAACAATCACTGAAATATGTGGGTTATACTGAGACCCTTTTAAATTTTGTTGTGGTGAAGTGGAGGAGGGTAAAATTTTTGCTTCCTCTTTCTACGCTTCTTAGTAATTGCTAACTGGTTCAAAACGATTTTATGTAGGGCTATTATCCGTTCAGCCGTTTCTACGAACGGCTAAAACCCGTACCTCCCGTGGCGGCGCATAAAGTTCGCCGATGCTATTCGGCATAGCTTATATTTACTGAGAATCTTTCATAGGATAAAGCGACTTGGCGAGTAAAATATCACTTGTCACAATGTCAAAGCGTAAATAGTGTACTAAATCTTGTGAACTCATTCTAACTTTGACATCTTCTTACTGTGTGTGGTAATTTTGCGTTTATTTAAACTCGCCACCGGTTGCCCAAGTCATTTTAGAGTTTGGAGATAGTGCAATTACAGGTACAGAAAAATGCCCCCAATTCCAGAAAGCTTCCCCTGGTTTTTTACGTGCCAAGTTGTAAGCAACCCATTAACGGAATTCTCGATTAAAAGTGATATCCAGAAAGACTGATTAGTAATTTTAGTTGGCCCATCCGGAATCGAACCCACAAAGGTCGAGATTTACAAGTCTCGCGCTCTAACCACGATTGAGCTATGCGGGGCTGGCTGCAACAAATTCCGGTGGCATTTTATATGTGTTAATTGTAAAAATTTCGGTCATATCAACGCCCGACTGTGGAGCGAAACTACATGATCAAGGAGTACTACATGATTATTTTTGTTTTCGATTTTCGTATTGACCGTGCATTTCTGTTTTTCATACTATGTTTTTAATGTATTTGCCGTTTCTAATAAAATAAAAAAAATTTGCCTTCACGTTTGAAGTGAATATTTAATATGTATTTTGGGGGGAAAATATGAAAAGGGAGATAATTTAGCAAAAATGCCTGTCAGGATCATCTGTCCTTTAGAAATGCATTAGTACTTTTATATGAAATAAGTATTTAAGTTTAAAGTGAATATGTTTGAAATAAGCCGTAACCAAAAGGTTAATCAGAGCGAAAACATCTTAGAGAAATAAGGGGAATAACTTTGCAAACTATATCTAGGATTATCTGCCCTTTGATATTACATCATATGATCATAGTAAACAAATAAACCACATTTAAAGTAAATTCGGTAGTGTCTGAGAAAATAAATGAAATTACTTTAACCAAATTCTGAGAGCGACAATACCATAATACCTTTAATTTGTTGTCAATCAGGGTTACAAATGAAGAAAAATACTTATCTATTGAGAATTTAGTATCAATTATCCTTTCTAGCCTAAAGATTACATTATATAGCAGCTCAAAACCTCGATATTTAGGTTCGTAAAAAAGAAAACAAGTAAAACAAAGATGGCAATTACAATAAAAATAACTATGAGACTGTTAAAAAGTAATATAATACTACTTTAATCATGATTTTAACATGAATTTACATTTTGCGACATTTCACGGTAGTGTTGCGACATTTAACGGTAAGGGAAATTCGTGCGACATTTAGCGTTAACATTGCGACATTTAACGGCAAATGATTTTGCGACATTTAGCGGCGGTTGCGACATTTAGCGACAATGGTGCGACATTTAGCGGCAAGTGCGACATTTAGCGGCGTTGCGACATTTAACGGCGCCACAGGCAGGACTTTGCCACAAGTACAAAGTCATTTGTGCTGCTTGACGTCTGCTTCTCAATTTTGATACTGATCTCCCTAAAACTGCAAATGAAGTGGACCAATTTTATACATAATCTGCCAAGTAAGAGTTATTTCCCATTTGCATGAAAACTTCATGATAAGCATTCAGTGTCGTCTGATGTCGTCTCCTATAGACCACTTGATTTATATATTTCGCAAATTTTGCTTATGATGGGTGACCACTCAAATACAAGTAGAGGGAAGTCTATATTTTGTATTAAAGACGTATTTTGATACAGAAAATGCGTTTTGGGTTTGACTTAGTTGTAAATATCAACATCGTTTGTAAATGTCGACAAAAACGCTACAATTCATCGCCAATTTAACAAAAAGTATTCAATTTGCAGAAAAAAGTAAACGCTTCTCTAAAACCAGACATATTCAGCTTTACAAAATTGTTTAGTTTGGAAAAAGTCATTAAGTTATGATGGAGAAATAAGTTGAAACATTACCTCGGGTAATTTCGTTTTCGATATTTTGAGGGGCCATTTCCTTTGAACGCTGTACAACAGTAATGTTAGCCAACCATAAGGAGAGAGCCGGTTCAGTCTGATGTGTCGCTTGGCTTACATGTCTCTTTACGTATAGGTTAGAGTGCATAGTGGGTGTTCTTCGTTAATAAGAAAGCTAAAAAGGAGCGGAGCTTGCGAAGCGACTGTAGCTTTCTTATTTACGAAGAACATCCAATATGCACTCTAACCGGCTTAGTGCTCCGCCCACTTGCGTTTTATAATATAAAACGTCCAGTTTATATAAAATCTGTTCTATTAAGATTTGAAACATGAAAATTTGAAAATCCTCGTCGGTGATTGAAAAAAATTGGCGAGCACTAATGGTAAATTCATTTCGGTTCCAGCATAATGAAGGTGCAGTGTTGTTAACAGTTGCTTTTGATCTAAGCTTAATCAATGTTTAAGTACAGATTTCAATCTGTAACTGTAGTATATGCCTTTAAACTTTTTAACAAGATGGAAAAGTTATCAATGCGTTAGCAGATAAAGGTGCATCGTAGAAACAGTTTCTAATGGCACACAGTTAATGTTATTTCGAATCGCATAAATCCATCAATCACAAGAATAACAGTACGTCTATAAACTCAAAAAGGCTTACTTACATACACGTACATACGAAAATTTGGTCGTTACGGTAGTGAATCTTGTTTTGCTCTATAGAAAGTGCATGCCGCACGGGGACAGGTGTTTTCAATTTGATTATGTACATTAAAATAAAAGTTTTACTATAGAAGAAATTATTAACGCAAACGGTATTGTCTATAGATTGTAGGAAGGAACAAACAAATCCATACATAATATAAGGTCCGTGTTCAATATTAGATCTACTATTGTTTGTGTTGGTGTTGATAGTTTTCACTCAGGACCACGGCCACAATTGAAATAACCAGGACACAATTCAGCCACGGGTTAGTTTCTGGGAAAGCTGTCAAGTAGTTTACTAGTACTAGTTACCTTCACTTTCGCAAGGAACTGATAACTTCTGTACATCTCAGAGCAGAGGTACAGTGCGAATGACCGTAGAAATAATTTCATGATCAATCACAACGAAAATTACGTGCATCGTCCGGGAATCGAACCCAGATCGCCCGGTTCACCGTCCAACGCTCTACCTATTGAGCAAACCGAACGGTGCTCAGATCTACTAATTTCTTCTTATCAACAATTGAAGCAATATTTGCTTATGCACAATTCCGCTCTCTTATTACACGCATGTGAGCACACATACACACGAGAGCATGAGCACGCGCACACATGCTTTAAATAATTGAACTAAAGGAAACTTCATGCACATGCAATTTAATGGTGTAAACAGATTAAAGAAACATTTTAAAGTACTTTTTCGATCAATACTTTCTCATTTAAACAGATAAATCTCGATGAAGGCTTAAATTGAAGTCTTGTTGAATATTTTATGATATTGTTCAAGCTCCCGAGTTGACAGTAACTTAAACAAACGGACACTTTTATTTTCCTTTGACCTGAGAAGGGAGTGGATAAATTAAGCTATTTACTTGATTAATAGGTATAATAAGTATACATTTATTTGTAATGAATTGTTTACACATTACCGATATTGTATCAATAGTTTAAGTCGTGGTTTTAAAGACCGATTATCTAACTTCTTATAAAAGGTCAGCAAAGATTGAAGATTATTCTCATTTAAATAAGGAATTAGCCCCAGCGTTCCTGTTCAAATAATATAACATTTAAATCTAATATCGTAAGATGAAGTTTTTAAAAAGTCATACTTGAAATCGAGGTGTGTAATTCGAATGCTATCCTGTTAAAAATATTTTTCGCGATATGTACGGAAAAAATGGACATAATTCATGATTTTAAAATTTAAAGCGACATGCCGTTATTCACTAGACGTTCGCAGGCCTTTACAACTATCTTTGGCTATTCAACCGAGCCGGGCAACACTCGGGAGTCTAACGTCAGCAACTTCCGTTCACCGAATCGGAGCCAACTTCGAAGTTTCCGTGTTCTGCCGTCATATCCGTCTCCAAAGCAACGAAGGGAGATAACTTCGAATGCCTCAGCGTCATCTTTCCGAACCAGTTACGTTATGGCAGACGATTTTAGCGATGACACCGAATCAGACGACACTTCCGTTAGTAATTTGTCGCGTGCGTTCTATCGCCAGCGAACGCTTGCCAGAGGAAACTTTTGTGTTGACGAAAGTTCTGATGATGAGTCGATTCCAAGTGAACCGGTGACAAACATGACGTATTCATCAATTCATCTTACTCCACGATCCCGGCAACCTAGAAAAGAGGCGTATAGATTTAATGTAGAAGGAACTGGAGCGGTTACCTGCATCATGGACACAAGTGCAGGACAGTGCTGGATAACTAGATACAATGATAAAATTTTACATATTTACCACAGAAACGGTCACAAGAAGGAAGCAAAAGCAATCAGTGAAAAAATTAACATGATGTGTATGCGGCAAGATAAATGTCTCCTGGTTACACCACAGTTTTCAAGGAGTGTCTTCAAAATGGCGCCAACTGGAAAAATGACAAATTTCCTAACTTTTGAGCTTGAAGTCGGTGGTTTTTGTTGCACAAGTAGAAACGAAATTCTTATTACAACAACTCCAATACAAAAATCTCAGAAGAAAGGGCCAAGGCCTCGTAAAACGCCGTCCATTCTCCGCTTCAGTCAGTCTGGTGATAGACTTTGGGAAATCAAGGTTAAGGGAACTGATCCCTTTGTCAGACCGTCCAAAATTAAGGTCAATATCAATGGGGATATTTGCGTGTTAGACCACGAAACTTCAAAAGAGCATTTAGTTATTCTTGCTCCCGATGGCGAGGAAAAGAAACGCTATTATGGTATACAAGACAAAGTATTAGATCACCCATTTGAACCCAAGGATATTTGCTGCGACAAGAATGGATTTATATATATACCGGATGTACGTAACAGTGCCGTGCACGTGCTAGACAAAACCGGACACTTTCATCACTTTTTGTTTACCAAAGATGATGGGAATAAATTCCCGTGTGCCATTGCATGTGATTCCGACAATTTCGTATGGGTGGGATTATCCTCCGGTGCTATTCGTGTCTATAAAGCCGACCAGAAAGCAAACGCAAAGTGATTCATATAAAATCGGATTAGTTTTTAGTTGGCAGCAATCCTTTTGAAGTACGCGTGGCATTTAAACCGAATTTGAATCGATTTAACAAATGCTTATAACTTTAGAAATAATCATATATTTAGGTTTGAACAATGTATTTAAATACATAACTTGGAAGAATTTGAATAGTTGCCGGTAGGGTTATCAATATTTTTTGTAATGTTATGATAATAACTATTGCAATGTCATTGATAACTGGTTGTCATGTTATCAATAAAAGTTATGAGGATATTAAAATAATTATTACAAAAATAATTGTTGCATTGCTATTAATAATGCCGGCAATATTATTAATAATTGTTATAATGCAATTAATACAATTATGTTGTTATTCATAATAATTGCTATTAAGTTATTAATAAATATCGCTGTGTTATCAATATTATCTACAATGTTATAAATAATGACTGTTATGATATTATGATAAATATTGTAATTCTAATGATATCTGATGTGATGTAATTAATAACTATTGTTTTGTTTTTGCATATTGTTGCCATTAACTACGTTACTTGTCTATATATTATGCTAGAAACGTTGTAAAACGTTTAAAGCAAATAAACTGTATTGTATTGTATTGTATTGATATCAAGTTACTGATTTTATTATTGACAATTGCCACCATGTCATTCATAAGTGTTATTATGCTATGTATTAATACTTATGATAAAGTTATTAATGTGACTTCTTTAAAGAAAAGATTCGCGATGTGTTGCCTTCCATAATGACCAGCGTTTGACGAGGCCTTAAAAGACGCTGGGGTGTGGATTTGAAAACAAAATAAACATTATGTATACCTTAGTACACTACATGTTGAAATAATTGAGCCGCGTCACGACAAAATCAACATAATGAGTTTGCGACCAACATGGATCCAGACCAGCCTGCGCATCCGCGCAGTCTGATCAGGATCCATGCTGTTCGCTTACAAACCCTATAACAAGTAGAGAAACTGATAGCGAACAGACTGCGCGGATGTGCAGGCTGGTCTGGATCCATGCTGGTCGCAAACGCATTACGTTGGTTTTGTCATGGCGCGGCTCATATATAGTGACTTTTTTAACTTATTGAAAAATTAATTTTACTTCAACAGCAAGCAGCTGCCATTTCATTTTTTAAAATTATTCAAAGAAAACTCATTTTTAAATTTATAATGTAGACATAATTATGAAGGTCACTCGGAAATATTTATTTACTTTAGCTGCCGTTCTATGTTGACTCGATATCTTTATCTCTTACTCGATAAAATGTTTTATTTAAAGAATGTACATAAATAGACACAAGATCCCTTGGCAAAATCATTTATGTTTATTTTTTGATAGCTCGATAAATTGTCTCTTATAAAAAATGCATGTACAATTACCCGATAAGATAGCTATTAAAATACTTTTGTTTTAGTATAAACTGAAGATCACTATTGTATGGTGGCTGATTTCTGCCATTTCGTGTTTCCGCCCCTCAAAAGTCGAAGGCGAATACCTTTGAAAAGGCTTTCTTGATAAAGGAGTGCCACGGTTTTGAACTGATTTCTGGGAAACCATGTGTAACCCAGCCACACAGGCTGTCAAGGGTTGAGAAAAAATGCAGCCTGGTTATATATAAAAATGTCACGTGACGACTCATTTCTCATAGATTTAAATGAATCTCATAAAAAATCCCATAAAGCTGACCACAGTCTGCTTTATAACACTTTTCTAGAATGGTTTCATAATAAGTCTAATGCCCCGGTCACATATTCACGGATAATGCCACGGAAGAGCTACGGTCTAATCGTTCACGGATTACTACGAAAATGTGAAATTCCGTAGTCCGCTACGGTTCCAGTACGGACACACAACGGTATGAGTACGGAGTCCGACGGATTTACCACCAAAAGCCCCCGGAGAGACACGGATTGTTACGAACCGACACGGTTTGATACGGAGCGACACGAATCAGGACGGACGCACTACGGATACGCTACGGTCTGCTACGGTATAAGCACGGGTTAGTACGAATAAGTACGGTCTGATACGGAGAAGAACGAATTGATACGGAGAAGAACGAATTGCCACGGATCTATACGGACCTATTATATCCGTCCACAACCTCATGCATACTCATTTTCAAAATGCCTCACAGGAAAAGAACACATAGAAAACGAATTGCAGAGTTCAATGATTTTGGCGGAGAGGATTCGGCCTCATCGCGTCCAAACCCCGAGACACATCAGGTCCGATTAAAGTGAATTTCTTGAAGGATGCCGGAACCTCAACAAATTCGGCCATGAGAGCCTCATACTAAACATGAAGTGGTCTTCGTAAAGCCCATCTCTAGTCCACCATCTCCTCTGTTTTCTCTTACCTGATTAGAAATGGACTAGTAATCATTAATGAAAAATGTCGATCAATACCGCTTCTCTTTTAATTTTAAAATTTGCTGTTCATTTTACTATTACATAGAGGATATTTGTTTGTTTGTGTGTAAGATGAAATTTTATTTCATCGAGTGGGCTTTAAAAACAGTATTCTCACGAGTGGCGTAGCCACGAGTGAGAATACTGTTTTTAAAGTTCACGAGATGAAATAAAATTACATCTTACACAACAAACAGACAAATTTTCTTTTTATTTTATGCTTTAAAACAAGTTAAAACGAAATTTCCATAATTTTAACGTTGATATTAAAATCTGTTTCCCCCGTTGAGAGCCCCATTTAGAGGGAATTTCTCATTAAAAACAAGAAGTCTTGAGCTGAAAAATAAGTCCGCCAATGAAGGTTAAATGAATGTGATATTTATTCATCTTATTAAAAAATATGAATGATCGCTTGTTTTAATAATAAAAACAAACAATTCTTGTAGGAGAAAAAGTCCAACCATCCATCCATATTTCTGTTACTTACTGCGAATTTATATTAGACCTGGCTTTGTAAAATGTAAACGGCAGCCATTTTTTAAAGTCGTGTATTTCATGGGGAGGAAAATAATTGTGTAAGATACAGAAGGATATAATTTGGATTTGTTAGTCATACACCTTTTTAAAAGAAAGAAAACTTATTTGAGGATTGTAACAGACAAAAAATATGTGTTGACAGAAGTGAAAGCATTCAGAAAAGGAGCTAGGAAAATGGAAAACTTGGAAGCTTGCTAAGGGCCTTAGTAAGGCATTGTAAGGAACGCTGGGTTGATTTACTTATTTTACGAGTGATAGCTGTCAATGCTTTTCAATTTTTCATAAAGCATACGGCAGTTATTGCTCGTAGGATACTTTAATATGCCCAAATGTCATCAAGAGCAGTTTTGCATGGGGAAGGAATGTATTTTTCAGACTGTAATTTAAAAACGAAACAAAAAAATTTAGAGACGAAATTTTGTGATTGGAATTTGAAGGAATAGAAGTAAGTTTTCTCTCTTTTAATACTTTTGACATTTATGTTATTTATCTATTTCAGCTTTGCTATTTTTTTAACAGCCTGATATTGTCAGAATTGTCAGTAAAAATAAAATTGAGGTACCACATGGGGAAAATCTTAAAAAAGTAGTTTCGTCATTGAAAAAAGTGAAATTATATTTTGATAATTTTCACTGTGAAATTATCAAATATAATTTTCACGGATAAATCAGTAATCCACTGAAAAGCATAAAATAAATGTTTATATTTTAAAAATATGTAAAAAGCTTGTTAATTAATATTATTATTACTCAAGGGCCAGCGTCCGAGGCTTATGAGACACTTCGTTTTATAAGTTCCATGAGAGGGCTCAATCAAACCAAGCATGCAATATTTTCAATTTTGCCGTGTTGGGCTTTCTTGCCGTGTTTGGCTTTCTTTGGGGATTCTTATTTTCTCTATTTTATGTACATATTTACTCCAATTTCACCATCCAATGTTTGTAAAATATGTAGCATTAAATGTTATTCTATTACTTATGAATTGTAGTACGATATTGATATATTTTTACCTCTATGCATGTCATCAAGCAGCTCGGCTACTGCCTCCGCATTCTGAGCCATTTCAATATAAAGTTACAGCCAGTAAATGGCAATTATCATTTATTGAATGTTCCCGCAAATATGTCTGTTTTTAACAAGAAGGTGGAATTTATACCCTTGAAAAAGTACATGATACTTAATTTATACGTACTAAACAGTGGTGGACCGTACCATTCCGTACCGTTTCGTGTTGCAACGCAATAAACCGTATAAGACCGTGCTAATCCCTCCCTCTCCGTAGTACAACGTATTACGATCGTGACTATCCGTGACAATGCCGTATTAATCCGTATTAAAACCGTAGCTTATACGTAGGATAACCGTACAAATACGTAGTTCTCCGTACCAAACCGTGGAAACCCTTGACAAGTTGGTGGACTACGAATCAGTACGGACTAGAACGGTTTTCGTACGGATCAGTACGTATCATTACGGTTTAATACGTACCAGCAGGGATACGCTACGGTTGATTTTTCCGTAGCAAATTTTTGTGCATGTTCAAAAATTGTCAAGGATCGCTACGGATATACCAGGACTACTACGATTGATTACGGTTACAATACGGAGAGCTACTGACCAGTACGGGTAGCTACGGACGATGCCGGAATTAATCCGTGGCTCTTCCGTGGGCGTATTCCGTGAATATGTGACCGGGGTATAAATGAAACGTACGTAAAATCTTTAAAAAATGTACGTTTGTAAAGTAAATTTTCATTGGATAATCTTAACGTTCATGCGTATAATCTATTCACCGGCCGCAATCGGTTTAAATTAATCAATTAATTTCATTTTTTCCTCCAATCAAGAAAGTTTGCAGTTTTATAAATTCGTAATAAAGATTGTTTACATTTCATAAGGTCGGATATAAATAGGTATTTGCAATATAACCGTGGCCTAGTGGATCGGGTTATATATTCAAACAACCGTTTAGGACCATATAACCTGTCAAAACTCTGTATAACTAATAGTATTCACGTTAAAACTTTTGCTGTTATTTTTTCGTGTTCATCATTATCTGCTACTTTTCCTTGTTGTGAAGCGAATCCTTATTTTCTTTTGATATTCTTTTGTGAATGAATCGTTATGTGTTTAAATAATATTTTTACTGCAAGATCTGTCGGACTTTTTGAAACGTCTCCCACAAGTAATTGCAGGAATGCATTTAGCGGTGTTCAATTTTTTATACTGCAACAATCTTACACGAGCATCTGGATAGAATTTGGACAAGAAAGATCATTTGCCATTGCGAAATAGATAATTATCATGATCATTTGATACACAGATTAATTAATATTTGAATAGAGATCTACAGAAACTTTTGAAAATTATTATTTTATTGCTCGTATTTAATCCACAGTACATTACCAGGCCAAGATTGGTAGTTTTCTGGCTCTAACTTTGTATTATGGTGAGCATTTACGTGTGGGTATAGCCCGTATTTCGTCATAAAGTCTATGATATCTTTTCCAGTGTCATGCTGTCTATGATATAACCATTCCATTAACACATATTCCACACCTACTTCTTTAAAAAAGTTTTCACCCCCTAAAAGTGTTCTTAATTCATACATTTCAACATCCATCTTGATAAACACCGTCTTTCCAGTAAATAACGGAATTAGATCATCCAACAATATAGAAAATGCTTTATGCTCATTATCCACATTTTCTAGTGTACCTGTCTCAACAAACGTCGCCCCAATGTTTCCTATTATATCCGTTAAAGTCACATTTTCACGTAAGTCTGAAACGGCGTTCCATAGTAAGGTGATTTTGTCCCTGAAACCCCCTAAACTCAAAGATTTTGTTAAAAGTCTAAGATTTGCTCTATTCGGATCAACTGCTATGCCTTTGTGACCAAGCTGTGCTGCTAAAATAGTATATACGCCTATATTACATCCAAGATCCAGAAATTCAATTTCTTGATTCATCTTAAGCACGGTACCAACCGTATACAAATAATTTGGTTCCCAAGTTCCGGTCTTAATAATGTGACCGGAAATGACTTCGTCAAGTTCTGGGTCATGAATACAGATTGGCGCATTTCCGTGCATAGTTTTTAATAATAAGCATTGATTTGAACTAATGGAATTTCTTTGTTTAAGAGTTTCTTTAAATGGGTCAAATATTTTTACATATTTTGGTAATAGTCTCAAGCGGTCACGAAGCTGATCGGCCTTGTAACGATGGTTACTTATCGGCAAAACATTTTTATTTTTAGAATCCTCTTTTATATTTGGTGTAAGTTTACTATCTAATTCTTTTATAGCACTTCGATTTTTGGCAAGGTAACTTTTCCAATTGTCTTCAATGACATTCTCATTGTCTTCTAGATGTTCTTTCATCATTCTTTCATTATCACTTTCTATAAATATCCCGGTCGTAATCTCTCTTGTCTTCTGTGTCGTGTTGACAATGTCGTTATAATAATCATAGTTTGCTTTAGTGACTTTTTTGTCCTGAGCAAATTCTTTCATGACTTTTGGAGGGATAATGTTTTCATTTGTCCTTATCACCTTTGCTGCTTGCCCTTGTGTTGTGTCGTCATCATTGGTACTTACGCGATCTGTGGCGTCAAGTTTTACAATGATTACGTAACAAATGATAAAGAAGGTCATAAACCCTGTGACAACCCATGACGGCCTGTTCCGATTTATCCAGCCTGGCAGAAGCATGATTCCTCGTCTAAGCATACCGGAAGTCAAAAACTCTATATCTTGCACTTCGTTAAAACAGGAACAACTTCTATAACAAGAAGTACTTTTATCGTCTGCTCACATGGTTTGAAAGGAGCTTACATTGTTTACCACGCTTCTCTTTGCATTCATTACTTTCCTTTTATACAATACAGCATAACCTGTGAGAAAAATGATAATATAAGTTTATGCATTAAAAAGTGTTTTACATCAAGAAGTTCTGATTTTTTGGTTTTGACATTCTCTAAATGTTCTCAATGTAAGTTGTCTCTTATATTTATTTTCTGGTCAAATATATTGATAAATGTTGGCTGTAAGATGTCTTAGTAAAACATGAGTAAAATTATTATTACAAGTAAAATTATGCATACACATATACCTTGGACAACACACTGAAGCTATTCAAAGATAATAAACATTTGTTGTTTAGGCATCATATGTAAGTTGGTTTGTAAAGCAAGTTCGTGGTTAAGAAGAATGTTAATTACTTTAGTATCCGCTTTCTAGGCCAGTCAGTCCTGGTATAAATATGGAAACATGTCAGCGCTATATCTAGGCCATAATCAGGGTTCGAACCCTCGCTGAAGAGATTTTAACAATAAAGATACTCCGGAACTCGTCAAGTGTGAGGTTTTCCCATCTTATCCCTGAGTACAAACAAACTCTTAGAGTAACAACGAGGTAAATTTATCAATGATAATCACAACGTGTTGATCACTCTGTTACAAACGGAAGTTTACCGTGAAGCTACTATTGTAAAAATTTGTTTGTAACCACAGAATTAGATGGAAGAACCAACATTTGCCGAGTTCCGGATCATCTCTAAGGTCCATGTTCATTTTCAAAGATATCTATCGTTTATCAGTAAAAATTCATGACAAAGAATGAGCTGAAATAATTTAACATATATCTCGGTAAAATATAATTTTAAAATTACACTGAATTCAAATACATAATTAATAATAATGATAGTAAAAAAAGAAAAGAAATACACACCTAACACGTTTTCACTTGTGTAAATTTATATCCGGCTAACACCAATTTATCATTTTCTAAACAATACAGATAGCTTCTCTAAAAAGTCTTGCTACAAAAAAAACCCAAACAAGAACATACACACAATCACGTCAAAACACTGCCTGAAGGCACGCGTATGCACGTAACTTGCATCAAACCGTCTTTACTAAATACTATGTCACTGCAAATAAAAAAATCTATTGTCTATATTTTGACTATATATCTACTTATTCATGTAAGTTGTCGCTTGTCAACTACAAACTGACATGACGTTAACGTTATTAATGTGCTATGAAATACTGGTTATATCTCGTTTGTGTACAGTTAAGCTTAATTAACAAACCGTGTCCCCTTTGGTTTTAATTAAGAAGTTAACTTACGTAAAATGGGCGGATTTGTTTCAAGCAGTTGAAGGATTCGTTACAGGTTCCTTCATCATATGTTTATTACAACCAGTATGGTGCCTACATCTCAAAATTCGTGATTTGCTTATAATTGCATAAAGTTTTAATGTGATGTGAAAATGGAAACATGTGTGAGAATTCTAAAAAATGTAGATGTTAAATGTTAAGTTTTCATTCACATTAAGAAAATTGGAAACACAAATTTAATTTATTTTTTTATTTTTTATTTTTTTATCGGACTCCTAGGCGTATTAATATAAAAAGCTACTATTTCAAGTATGTGAAATAACCCCCCCCCCCCCCCCGAGAATCATATGGAGCAGATACGTGTACAGTTAATAGAAGGTCTAACAAATTTGCTCATTGAAGTTTGTAAAACCAGGTGCCCGAAATACCGGTAATGTGTGTAAGGACCTGAGGTCTATTATTCATCAACAGTGCTGGGAAGTCAACATAATTATCATGATCGTTCTCATCTTCTACTGCCCTCTAACACATGTACATAATGGAGGAAAATGATGTAATAATTTACAAGAAAGATAATTGCTCCATACACTTTTCAATCAGAGCACCTCAACAATAATTCATAATACTCTCATTAAAAGTAGTTTTACCACGTGACTTCAGATGTAAAGAAAATAGATCATGTTATCTATGGTGGCTGATTTCTGCCATGTCATTGCTTCGTTCTGTCGCGGTTGAAGGGGCGACAGCACGAAAGAACGAACTAACGACAAAAATGTTAATTCTCGTTTGTCGCACTGTTTTAATCGTTTTGTCGTTACTTTGTATCGGCGTCCAGCAAACGTGACATCACAACAAAACGAGCATATGAAAGCGCCGTTACGAGATTTTAATGCGACAACACGGAGATAAAAAAATCGTTTTGTCGCCCCATATTCGGCGTGTTGGCGCCCTGTATTTGGCGTTATCTACGGAATACCGTTAGGGCCATCGTGGTTATACGTTAAAATACAGAGGGCGACAATGCGAGAGTGCGACAGTGCGATGACGAGAATGCGACAGTGCGATGGCGAGAGTGCGACAGTGCGATAACGAGAGTGCGACAATGCGAGGGTACGATGATGACAGAGCGATAGTGTTATCGCACTGTCGCCATCGCATTGTCGCACTCTCGTCATCGCACTGTCGCACTCTCGCATTGTCGCACTCTCGTCATCGTACTGTCGCACTCTCGTCATCGCATTGTCGCACTCTCGTCATCGCACTGTCGCACTCTCGACTCTCGCCTTCTGGTGGACGGTTCTAAATTGCTGGCGAATAAGCTGAAGCTTATGAAGGGTACCCTCTTCTGCACGGGGGTTTGAAGGGTGACTGCCGCCCCTCTCAACTCCAAGAAAAAATTGAAATTGTGAGAGGCTCAAAATGGCATCAGGTCGATCTTAAGGTAACGTGTAACCAACGCTGAAAGCCCTTCACTCTATCCCGACCCATCGGGAATTTGCAGCTTTGATGGAAAAAATAACACAACATAGAGATTTTGAAATGTCCCCTAGTTGTCATGATAACAGGAAATTAAGATACAAATGCTATGGCTTAGTAAACATTTGTGCCAAGTTTGATTAGTATTAAAGCATTTTTTTCTAGTTTCATAGTTGATTGATTGATTGATTGGGTCTTACGTCGCACCGACACAGTATAGGTCATATGGCGACGTTCCAGCTTAACTGGTGAATGAAAACCTCAGGTGACCTGAGTAGAACCACCGACATTATAGTTTTCATAGCAATTTGAACTTGTGTAACGGGGGGGGGGGGGGGTTCAATGTAAACAGCCATTTTTCACAAAATGCTTATGCGGGAATGGGTTAACTTGTCAGCAGATTCTAGTATACATGTGTACCTAAAGCACCGTAAGTTAAGTCTGCTGACCATATAGTATAAGAAAAAAATATGGCATAAACCATAAACCAATTTTTACTAACATTGCAAAGTAAATTAAAACTTCACTGTAAATATAATAATAATAATAATAATAATAATAATAAAGATTTTATTTAACGAGAGAACTCATTTGAACAAACATATCAATCTTCCATGAGGCCCTCAACAAGGAACAATATAAATTTAACATATTCAAACTATTAAAATACATAAATGTAAAAACATAAATATCATTTTCCTCTGTTCATAAGCAGTTTCTCTTTCTCAAGGTTGAGCTAAAATCACTTTGGCTATATATAAAACAAGTGGACACAGAAATCTAGTATAATTATCTTTTATATTTCTTTTTTTTATTTAATCATATTTATTTACTATCTTTAAGAAATATAAAAGCGCTATGTCTACCAAGCACCAAATATGGCTCGATCTTAGATATTGATAAAAATCTAAAGAAGCGTCAATTTGATAGGTAGTTGGTAGTTTGATATTCGAATAAACTACTACACCAGCTGGTAGTTGGTTATTCTTAATTCTGCACTAACTACCGGTGGGTAGTTGGTAATCCGAATTTTGCATGTTTTCCTAAAAAAAAAACAAAAACAAAAAAACAACAAAACTAAACAGTAAGATTTTTTTCGCATTAAATTTAATGGATAGATGTGTTTTTCAACATTGAAACACATTGTCTCACTATGTCCACCAGCGGAGTCAGTTGGCTATAGTACAATATGCTGACCAATTAAACTTATACATTGTAGTAGGATCTGCTGTTAAGTTACTCTTAAAGTGAAAATTGTTGACCACTTATGTTAGATATATAGAAAAAATATTTGTTGACGTAAATTTCTAATTACATTTATCTTTATTTACAATGTTAGTAATATAATAAATTATTCATCTTACAAACAATAAAACCACTGATGACGATCTATGAATATAATTATTTCGTTTGTCTTTTTTATACAAGTAATAAACAATGATTTTATTTATTTTTTCATCTTTTAAATGTCATCATAAGATCATTTTCATCAAAGGATATTAAAGTTTCATACAATTAATTACATTTTCCGTCTATGTATAACTCTTTCAGTATTTATATACAAAATGATTCTTATTATTAATTTATGATTTCATTTAAACATTATTAGAATACAGAAAAAACAACAAATAAATAATAAAAAGAAACAGAAAAAAGAGAAAAAAAAATGACGAAAGTAAAATTATCCCATATTCTATACCGTCAGCTTATTCGCCAGCAGTTTAGAACCGTCCACCAGAAGGCGAGAGTCGACAATGCGACAACGCGATGAAGACAGTGCGACAGTGCGATGACGAGAGTGCGACAATGCGATGACGACAGTACGACAATGCGACAGTGCGATGACGACAATGCGACAGTACGATGGCGACAGTGCGATAACACTATCGCTCTGTCGTCATCGTACTATCGCGTTATCGCATTCTCGTCATCGCATTGTCGCACTCTCGCCATCGCATTGTCGTTATCTCGCCATCGCACTGTCGCACTCTTGCATTGTCGCACTCTCGTCATCGCACTGTCGCACTCTCGTTATCGCATTGTCGCACTCTCGCATTCTCGCCCTAACGTATAACCACGATGGCCCTAACGGTATTCCGTAGTTATCTCATTATGTCGTCTGTGCGTTCCGTTCCACAGTTGCGATAACACGAAATAATGAAGAAATGTCAATTTCGTTTCGGCGCGTTGTCGCCTTCCGCTAAGCGGTATGACTAAAATACGAAGGTGACTTTATTTGGACGAAAGTGAGCGAATCTGACTTTTAAAATATAATTTGAAGCGTTTCAATAGAATTTTACAATAAAATTGCAGTTTGTAGACGTACATTATCAGAATTTAGGTATATCTATTTTCAAAAATAATCATTATGATGATTTAATCACCATTTATTTGCACAATTTCCATACAGAAGTTCTATGAACGTCAATTTGTGGTAGTTGGATATTCGAATAACCAGCTACTTACTTGCTGGTAGTTGGATATTCATAACTCATAATTCCCAAAATTTTAGCAGGTGGTACTAGTAGTTGGTAATTCAATCTACTATCACCACACTGGTATTAGCTTTCCCAGAAGCGGTGGGTCCATCGAGCGGCGGTGGAATATTCGTTGCAGAAGAGGTGGATATAAAATGGCCGTTTGCTGTTGTCGGTAAGTTTATGACAGAATTTGACTTTATGTTTTAATGTTTTACTGGAAACACCTAGTGAGACGGGAGCCCACATATGTTCTTTTCCAAATTATAACACGCACACGGGGTAATTTATGGTCATTTATGCAAACAATTCTGTACAGTTTGACGAGGGGGCGCCACTTTTGTTTAATTTCGGTTAAAACAAGTTCAAATGTGTGCAAACGACCTATAAATACGCATCATCACATCGTATGTATGATATTTGCACAAACCAGCCATAAAAAGTCGTTATTTTTTTATAAAAGAATTAACAAAAAATGATTACAACGCAGACGTAGGTGGATTCGATTGCAACGCAGTGCGGTGGGCCCGATAGCATTGATTTCAATTTGAAGGTTTTAACTTGACATATGACGCACTTTTCAATGGAGTAAAACCTTTTTCTTACTTTGACATCAGAGAAACATGTTTATTTGATGTTTAAAACAATTAAAAGTTTCATACTCAGAACACCAATGTATATCTGTATCATAGTTTGGGAACCTTTCTTTTGAAAATGTGTCTGAGTTAAGTAATAAAAAGAGCATCGAAACACGAGGCTATCTGATTTGTACGAGGGGGCGTAGCAATAGTAATTCACAATTAAGAGCTAAGAACCTAAGAGCTTGTTTGAAAGATTTGTATAATAAAAAGTTGTGGAAAGATGTCAAAATTCGCTGCAAAGATCACATTAACGATGAATGTATTCTTGCACACAAAGTTGTACTAGCAGCAAGAAGTCTCGTGTTTCAGTCGATGTTCTTCGGTACCTTTGCTGATGGCAAAAATGAAATCTACCTTGACCAATTAGATGCAAACACATTCAGTCTATTTTTAAGGTAGAATGATTTTTTTTTTCAAATTTTTAACAGGTTGTCATTGCAAGACTCACAAATTTATTAATAATAAGCACATATCTATGACCATAGGGAAGAAAGATTAGATATAAATAAATATTAAACATCTCAAAAGATATCAGTTATAATGAACATCAATAGTTTCTACTTTTTCAAACAAATAATTTATCTAAAACTTACAGGTATTTTTACAGCGATGATCTGACGTTGAGTGAAGAAAAGGCGTCGTCAGTGCTGGAAATAGCACTCTATTATCAGGTATAAACTTAGTAGATATGTGTGCTGGTTTTTTAGCTACCATTATAACAGCCAAGAACGTTTTTGAAGTATTAAATGTATAAAAATTTTATGAATTAACAACACTGCGCAATGCATGTTACGCATTCATTGATACACATGCAGACAAAATCCTCCAATCCGAAGCGTTTTTAGAGCTTTCAGCAGATCGTCTTCATTACATTTTGAAAGGGGACATTTTTTAATACCGATGAAAAAAACATTTTCACGAAAAAGTCATAGCAAAGCTATTTGAGGAAGGCAAACCAGAATTCACAGGAGCAGATATAAGATCAATTTTGGATGCAACGTTCTACTTTTTAAGATTGCCAACAATGGACTTACAATAGATTTTCGGAAAACACTAGTAAAATATTATCTTATATGCATGTCGATCAAGTTTAGACGTGTTTAATCTAAACCTATTTAGATATATTATGATTTTCGAAAAATACTTGAGCGCCGGTACTTTCCCTTAAACTTTTTGTATGCATTATTAGGTTTAACCGATCTGTACATGTTGGAGCAGATTTAACAATAAGTTAAAGTAAAGACATTAGAGAAAAAAGGTTAGTAAATATTTCACTATACTCATTTTAAACAAATAAGTTTTAATAGATTATGCAAAAAATTTATTTCTTGCTGATTTTGTCAATGACAACATTTATTTGCTTTTTGGTCTCCAGCCCATGCAAATATATAATACACAGTATATTTACAGAGCATAGGAAGTGCATAACAATTAACATACTAACTACTTAATACAACAAATTATTATTTATATTGTTATTTATAGATTAATTGTTACAACATTTATCATATTATATTTTATTCAGATATTGTTTTCTTTTTTCATACGCATAATACAAAAAAAACAGCGAAAGATTTAATAAGATATTTATTTGTTGCTGACATAAATATGTTAAACATATTCAAGTTTGGTTGCATGTAATATTTCTTTGGCAGGTGATTTTTGCGTAGATCAGTCACATATATGTAAGAAATTATATTGATTTTCAACACTGTTTTTATCACACACTTTGCAAATTCGTTCACTTCTTGGGGTATATGTATATTTTCCCCTTTCTACTTCAATATCCAGATTTTGTTTTTAAAGTTCAAAAGGAGATTTTCAAACGAATTTCTTTTAAATACAAAATGTATACAAGCTGGTTAATTTGAGTTAGTAGATGGCTAATCGCTTCTCTTCTAAATGAATACCTAATATAAATTTACATATTTTGTTCCTAGAAACATTTCTTGCCTATTTGTTAACACCTTAAACATTCTTTGATAACTACACAAATTACAAAACAATATAAATGTACAGAAACAAATTATACAAAGTAAAAAGCGTTCGTTTATAGAAATAAAAACCTAAATAATATATTTGAGTTTAACAAAATAAAGAAAAGAATCAAAAGAATCTATATTACTGTGTGTTTAGCTAACCGTAAATGTAATGTAACTTAATTGCTATGTTATATTTCTTAATTGCAGGATTCACCATAGCAACCTTACTCCATCATAACAAACTACCTTCATTCTGCCCACCCCCACCCCGTAAACTCATCACCAATCCGGCCCCGAAAAAAAATATTTGTGTATTGACATTTTTATTGTCCCCCGCCTTTTCGAAGAGAAAAAGGGATATAGAAATGGGCTCCGATGGTCGGTTCGTCCGTCACAGTTTTGTATGTAGGTCATTTATCAAAGGAATTAAAAATAAAACTTGGCACAAATGTTTGTTACAACAAGACGATGTGTCATTCGTAACAAACGGACCCCCTACCTCCAAGGTCAAGGTCACACTTGGTGATTAAAGGTCAACATCATTTATTTAAGGGTGTATGTCGTTTGCTGTCCATAACTTTCTTATTCATGAAGGGATTATAAAAATACTTGGCACAAATGATCACCTACCTCCACGGTCAAGGTCACACTTGGAGGTTAAACATTAACATGGTCTGTTACAGGGTATATTTAGTGTCCGGTTCATAATGTCTTCATAGATCAAGGGGTTTTGAAATTACTTGGCAAAAATATTCACAATGATAAGACAATATGTCATGCACAACACCCTGACCCCTACATGCAAAGTCAGGGTCACACCTAGAGGTCACAGCTTAACATGGTCTTGTATAGGGTACAATTTGTGCTAGTCCATATTTATTCATTGTTCAAGGGATATGGAAATTACTTGGCATAAATGTTTACAATAATAGGTTGATATGTCATGCACAACACTTGCACCCCTAACTTCAAAGTCAAGGTCACACTTGGGTTTTAAATCTTAATTTGGTCTGTTATATGATATATTTTGTGTCTGGTATATAACTTTTTCATCAATCAAGGGATTTTGAAATAATTTGGCACAAAAGTTTACAATAATAAGACGACATGTCATGTGCAACATCCAGACCCCTTCCTCAAAGGTCAAGTTAACACTTGGAGGTCAAAACCTTAAATGGCCTGTTACAAGGTATGATGCCAATTAAGGCCCATGCAAATAAAATGTCATTTGTGAATCGCCTACATACCTTGATCACGAAATATACCCTCTAACAGGCCATAGCCGGTATTGATTTTGTATTTGTCAAAACAAATAAAAGATTAGTAATCGTATTTGAAGTATGAGCTATTCTTATCAGTAAACGAATATATGGTAGGCTACAACGAATTTATAATATAAATTCTTCACTTGATATTATACTTTAAACAGGATATAAAACAACCCTTACGCTCATTTCTTCTAGTTTTTCTGTATTTTTATTTTTTCTATTCTTTTTTTGTTGTTTGTTTGTTTGTTTTGCATTATTCAAAATAATAATGTTTTATTTTCCCTATGGATCTAAGTGTACTCTTGCAAAGTATAGTTAAGTACTTCATAGTACTAATGTATATCAAGATTATTTCCTTCTTAACAAAATAATGTAATGTCTATAAGGTTAAAAATTGCAGAGATGTCAGCTGCATGTCTTCGGGTGAAATCTCTCTTAAACTTTACTTTACTATGAAGTTGTAGCCAGGTATATTAATATGTTACTAACCTGATAACTTAAGGAACTTTTGGATCTTCGACATTTTCATTTGGATCTTCGACATTTTCTTGGTTGCTTGATTCCATTTTTATAAATGACAAATACTTCCTGTACAGATTTTCTTTATTTCTTTTGAAACATTGATGCTACAGTACATTGCTCGATAAAATAAATGCCGGAAAACGGATGCCAATGTTATATTACTAACCTAAATCATGAAATATTTGTTGGTTAGTAAATTGATATAAAGCAATTGTCATCGATGAAGCTAAAGACACTCTGTACCCAATTTGCCGGTATAGCTGAACCATAGTCATTCCTCAAAGTGCTGAAACGAGAGAAAAAGCAGAAGAAAACTGAAGCAACAATTATGTGACTTACACATATCGCGGCATCATACTGACGGACTGACAGATAAACGGACGTTCCTAATAATTGATCCATGTTGGTAGGGTATTACAGTTGTAGAATCATACCCAAAAATAAAAACAATTTACCCAACAGTACATCCGAAATGAATAGCATTTACGGTTACCTATTGTTCTCTGTACGAAACAAGTATCATTTTACGCCCTTTGGACAAATGGACATTCTAACGATACAGTACTTATTTGGTTACCCCATTGTTCACTCTATTGGTCTTTCTAGCCATATAAAGAAGAATAGCCACATTGAATGAATGACATCAATGAAATAGTCAATTACCTATTGTTCCTCTAGCCAAATACATAGGTATCCAAATGTAAGCTCGGACAGTTCAATTGCATTATAAAGGTCTATTTTCTCAGAAACAATAAAAGCTATTCACTTTAAACTTGGTATTCATGTTAATTGTCATAAAAGGACGCCATTTCTAAAGGGAAAATAATCCTAAAATTATTTTATACAAAGTTATGACCCTTTTGGAACTAACATTTTTAGCCCTAGTTATTTTTTGTTAAGGTCCATTTGCTCATAAACTAGCAAACCTATTCGCTTCAAACCTGGTTAAGATGTTCATTGTCAAATTATGACAACAAAGCAGAAGGGCAGATAGTCCTTAAATTCATTTTTGCATTTTTGTATACACACTATTTGCTTAATCTTTGTTAAGTCAATTTCTCAACAACAGTCAAAAATACACACTTCAAATTTGGACTTTTTAATATTTTCAAAAATTAGAAATTGAAATTATGAAAAAATACATGAATATCAGAGTTATGAAAAAAAAACACCCTGAAATATTCAAGTGATTTATAACCTGCATTTTGCTAAAGCAATGCTATCTTACTTAAACCACTAGCTAATCGGATCGTAATTATTTTTAATTATAGTATCGATGACTTTACTATCATTAAAAATAATGGGTAGATCGTAATGAATTACAGAGGCTTTTCTCCCGAAAATAAATAAGTCTCAAGTCAATATTGCCAAACAATATTTATTTTAAAGATCGAGGTACTTGTAAACAGTACGTATATTCTACAAATACCAATATAATCTTATACAATCAAAACGTCTAATACAGACAATGGGTTTCAATTTTTAAATCTTAAAAATGTGATTGAATTTCAAATAAATACTTTAATTTAGCGTGTAGGCAATTTACATTCATAGCACACAGTGTCATCGAAATAAGGAATATTTGAAGGTATATTTCTAGTGAGTTTCTTAATCTGAATTTATTAATATTCAACTAGTTATGTTATTTTTGGAGGAGTATATAATATATCTCGCTGATGATAGATGTTCAATCAAAATTTTAAAAAAAACTCAGTATTTAATACATGAAATAATATATGTAAATATGGAATGTAAAAAGATTTTCAATCTGTCAATTTCAAGGTGAAACATGGAACTTGTATGAAAAAAAGGCAAAACAGAGAAAATAAAGAAGAAACTGATTTTAATAGTAGGATAATAAATCCATAACTTTTAAATATTAGAATTGTTCATTTGACATAAGTTTTCAAACAATATTTAAAGCAACATTCTTGTCAAACAAAATGATATAAATGATTAAGACATGGGAGTTGGTTGCGGAATTTAGACAATTTAGACAATTCGTATTTCCTGAACCAATCAAACCTCACAATTTAGAAAAGTTGGACATAGTATATCTACATAATAACCATGTCATTTAAAAGATTTATTTCTAGCAGATAAAACATAGACAAAGATGGAGGCTTGTAACGAAACACAATCGAATCAGAGCTTACCCGCTGCTTGGCAACACGACAAGACATTGGGTGATTGTATGATAAAACTCTATGAGAACAAGCTGTGGACAGATGTCAAGTTCAGATGCAAAGGTCACGACGACATTGAAAGAATTTATGCGCATAAAATAGTTCTTGCTGCAAGAAGTCCCGTGTTCCAGGCGATGTTTTTTGGTCCATGTACAGAAGAAAAAGAAGAAATTCTGCTTGATAATATTGAAGCAGAAACATTTGATTTATTCTTGAGGTAAGGTATTATTGTCGCAAAACATCAGGCAAAGATATGATAAGATAGTAAAAACTACGCTTAAAAAGAAATGTGATGATTATATGAAGAGTTTCAACACGAGCAAAAGACCATTAATTTCAAGATTTGACGCCAACAAGCAATTGTAGCATTTATTTGTTATCCAGATATTCTGAAATAAGTGGATCTGTCGGGAATAAAACGAAAAACATTATACATTTGTTCTTGCAAACAGCAAATTCAATAATCAAAATCAAGTTGTCGGTACTCAAGTATTGCATTAGTTTCGAAAATTTGTCGTCATACATATTGGCATTGTTCAATGGACAAACTCTTCTGTATTGCTTATACTAAGCTTGAATTAAAATGCTAGGCTGATATCGATGTTATACACACATTACTATGTTTTGACCTAAATCTTCGATACTTTTATAATATATATTTCAAATGCTAAGCTAAATAAAAGCTGCACATAGCCTTTAACAAATAATATTCTTAGCATCTTGAAATGTTTAATCCACATTTGATAAAGATTATTAATTAATTTTATGTAAAGTCACTGAGAATCTGTGAGTACGAAATATGTTAACATCTGTTTTAGATATACTTATATGGACAAAGTGACCTTAACTGAAGAATTGGCTGCATCGGTCCTAGAGACATCTCACTATTTCCAGGTGACTTATCTTGTGCAGTTTTGTGCCGACTTTCTGGCTTTGTGTGTCAGGAATGACAACGTATGTGATATTTTATCGCTGGCTCGGCGCTTTGATCTCAGTTCCCTTTGTAAAGCTTGCTGCATTTTTATTGACGAAAATGCTGATGAAGTGATGGAATCTGAAGGCTTTCTAGAACTTACAGAAAATAACCTAGCATACATTTTGAAAGGAGACACATTTTATGCAGACGAGACTAATACATTTCAGAAGGCCGAAGAATGGGCAAAGAAGAAACTGAAAGAAAGTCAAATTGAAAATAATGGGCAAAATATAAGAAAAATATTAGGACCAACATTTTATTACTTGAGATTACCCTCTATGTCACTTGATGATTTTCGGAAATGTACACGTAGGAAAGGTTATTTTTCTATGGAAGAATATGAGGATATTGCTGATTGTATCTATAGAACGCCTGATACAACCGTCATTAGCAATTCATGCGTTGCAAGACTGCCATATGAGGAACAAATATACTGTTTGGATGAGCAAAATACGGAAGTTGCAAGTGACAAAATACAGACAAGTTTTTATGTAACTATTCATAGGGATGTGAAATTAAAAGCAGTGGAATTGGCGGAAATATTTCCTTATTTGGAGTATGATAGCATTTTATATAGTAATAAGTATGCTGAATGTGTGAACTTAAATTCATCGGAAGCAAATACTGCTTTATTAAAATATTGTGATCAAGTCATTCAACCAAAAACAAAACAATCTCTGTGGAAACTTGAGGAACAAATAGGCCAGAACTTGCCAGAGGGTGTAGCAATTGTTATAACAGGAAGTTTGAAATTGACATGCCAGAAAGACAAAAACGAGACGGTAGCAGTTGATGATGATGTTGATGATGATGATGATGATGTAGGCAACCAAAACGATAATTATGATGATGATGATGGTTGTGGTGGTTATGATGATGATGATGATGATGATGATAATAATGATTTTGGCAATGATGATGATGCCGAGAAGGAATATCAGGTATTTAAACAAGATTTGAAACTGGTTTCCATGGATGAGGCAGAACGCAATATTACTCTTGAACAGCCGATTATTCTTGAAAAATCAAGATCGCCGTATATTTTGACGATCGATCTGGAGTACGAATATTCACGTTCAATTAGAATGAAGACAGGACAAAGTTCAGAGGAAACTTTCACAAGTGATCATGGTGTCTTTGAAGTTGAAGTTATACGTGGGAATTTTACAGGAGTCAGAAGTCTTTGTTTTGAAAATATGTCAAATCGTGATGAATGTTAGAACAAACTAATTCGTAAGCAAGTATTTGAAAAGATGTTGTTTCTGTGGACACAATGTGTCCAACAAGCGTTAGTACATATACCTTTTAAGAATGCGTAAATCTACGAAATTGTAAGATGTGTGAACAAACAGATCATTAAGTTTTGCTTGAAGTTATATCTAATGTCCATTAATAGTCATAAATAATCATATGACCCCTGGTCACTTTTTATTGGAGACTAGGTTTCTTATCTTATCTAAATAACATATTCTACAGGTTTATTCAATGGATCTTTATGCTTTAAGCTTTTTTTTTTTTTTTTTTTTTTTTTTTTTTTTTGGAGGGGGGACTGTTATTGTGATGTTTTTCCAATTGTGTTAAAAGACCTCCAAGTTGCCAAAATGGGCATATTGAACATTTTTAAATAGAAGTTGAATAGACTATAAAATAGTTATGTATTTACTGTTGTTATTTCTATTATTGTTAGTTGTTGCTAGTCACAAAGTGTCATAAAGATTTGCATTGAGATGGATTAGAAGGAGACACAGTCAAAATTTCATTTTTTTTTGTTTTGATTTTTTCATTCATTATCAAAATTAAAACACTGGGCTGTCACAGGAACAAAACTTTTCTCCTTATAATGAATAAAATGGTGGTATGCTAATGGTGGTATGCTAACTTGACCCACGTGCGTTAAAATTTCAAAATAGTTGTAACAGTGAACTCTGTTAACGTTAAAATACATGTCAAATGAATCACTTACAATTGTCTTAATCATACAATATCCACAATATCTGCTTTTGTAAATTCCAGGGTTGGTTAAAGACACATGACAGTTTTAAATCAACTCGGTGATTCTGTCGGCGTTTAAATTTCGTTCAACATATATAGATACATTCACGTTTCAAACCCAAAATATATAGAAATTATACAGAAATTCATGCTGGGACTTTAAAAAAAAGTCATTTTAGCGTGATTTTAGTATATAAAATCATTTTTATATTTCTGTCATTAATTTCACTAAGTATCCCTTTTTGGTATGTAATTGACAAGAAATTAAAGCATGTGCTTTGGTGTATATTTAAGATTAATTTTACTAACTTTATACTGTGAACTATGTACACGAGTATCGTTTTGTGAATTAAAGTGACAGAAGGTTTTAGGGTTATATGCATACGTCTTGCAAGAAATTGAAATTCAAAAACTGTACATTATAAGTTATCAATAATATACAATTGTGAAAAAATGTTATAATTTTAATGTAAAGCAATTATCGTAATGAAAAATACTTTTTTAAAAAGATGTAAATTATTTTGTTCTACAAAGCTGTAATTCTATTGATCTCTATTTGGATCGCCCCTGTGTTTAGATGGCGTGCAGAGGCATTCAGTTTTGTCCAAAGCATATCTGCTACATACATTATGATCAATTCTGTAGTCTTATTGGTCAATATAGGCAATCTCAAGTTCATGCGAGGTGAATAAATAAATTGCGGATTATATATTATCTACGCATGCAGGTATTATAGTACATGTATTAATTAACACAAAATATCACTTTTTAGACATATATAGTGTTGCACACATAAATCAGGTCACTATGGCAAAAGTCAAAGACGCACTCAGAGGTCAGATCCTTCATGAAACTTGTACCGACATTGTACGAATGAAGCATAGTGTTTTGCGCAAAATGTAGGTCTCTTTGACCATGGTCAAAGTTGCTTGCAGATATCGAAAGTCAGATATAAAATTGAAAATATGAGAATTAATCATTTGGTAATTATTGATTATGAGATTAAACTTTGAATGTTCACTATTATGAGACTGGGCATTTGTGATGGCGTGTTTTCTTTACAAACTAGCACTCTTTCATACCAAGATAATCAGAAAGAAGCACATCATATTATATTTGAAATACACGTTATCATTCAAGCATATCCATAAGAAAATGCAGATTTTTTGACGTGCGCTGGGAACTCAGGCCTATATCGTTTATGTTTACATTTTTCATGTAACATAAGTATATATTTTGTAAATGATTTAATGTAATTCGAAATAATACATTTACAGGTTTTATGTGTTAATAATTATGTACTGGCGTTAAAAAGGAAACGGCTTTAAGATTTTTCACAGACTTTTGGAACAACCCTGGTATAAGAACGGTAAATGTAAACAGTACAGAAACAATAGATGAGAGGAACTATAGAAATTGTTATATTTTAGGAAATGAATTCCACATTATTCTAACATGTTTTATATGCTTAACTACAAAAAAAATATAAAAGAACACTTTGAGAACAGACTAAATATATGTATTCATGAGTTCAGAAAAATGAAATGAAAATCGATACAGATGAGTCCTATGATCTAATATCTTGAAGCATAGAAAAAAAAGAATTGTTTTGCATTCCCTGTTTTAAAGCTTTGATATATATAAAAACAGATCTATGCATGCAAAAAAAAAATCAAAACGACTGACAAAACTTTCTAACATGAAGCACACAAAAAAAGATGTGCGTGTTTTTAATATTAGCTGAGGAATTTTAAGTAAACATGCACTTTGTTGTACAAAGGAATGTATTATTTTTTATGCTGTCAATCCCTTTATGATATAAATATTTTTTGTCGCATTCAAATATACGTCACCAACATTTAGTTTAAAATGTTTAACATAAAAATCACAGCTAGATAGTTTTGTACTATTATTGCTATCTCGGATCAACCCCGTAAGCATATATTTTTTCAAAAAAATTGAAATTGCATCCATTTATAATTTAAATGCTAATATCTCGCATTGAAATATACGGCAAGAACATTTAATCTAAAATTTATAATTGTCATAAGAAGGAAGAACTAGGTTTGTTGAAACTAAGACGTGACGATATTTAACTTCACCTAGAAGCTCAAAGCATTCCGTTTCAAAGTTAAAGCGAACAATTTACTGTTGTTAGTGTTTTTCGATTAAATAGCAATTAATGTATTGTTGTTAGTGTTTTTTTTTATTAAATAGCAAACAAGGTACTGTTATAAGTGTTTTTACGATTAAATAGCAAACAATGTACTGTTGTTAGTGTTTTTTTATTCAATAGCAATAAATGTACTGTTGTTAGTGTTCTTTTTTTATTCAACAGCAATCAATGTACTGTTGTTAGTGGGTTTTTTCCGATTCAATAGCAATTAATGTTCTGTTGTTAGTGTTTTTTCGATTCAATAGCAATTAATGTTCTGTTGTTAGTGTTTTTTCGATTCAATAGCAATTAATGTACTGTTGTTAGTGGTTTTTTTATTAAATAGCAAACAAGGTAATGTTATTAGTGTTTTTACGATTAAATAGCAAGCAATGGACTGTTGTTAGTGTTTTTACAATTTAATAGCAAACAATGGACTGATGTTAGTGTTTTTACGATTAAATAGCAAACAACGAACTATTTTCAATTCAATTCAATGTTTATTTGGCTTTAACATATATACAATGTTTATCGCCAATACATATAGTATTCTGACGGCACAATACAAAACAATACATATTTTGAACATGAGAAAAGCATGATAATAACAATTATATACTTTGAACATACAAACATATAAATTATTTATGACATTATAACACAGGTTACACAATACATAAATTATTTAAAATCATCCTCTTAAAGAAAATGATTGGTATATATATTTAGCTAGCTTGATAATAGTACTGCTTTGAGAACTGTTAAGAAGATTTTTAAACTTGAATAAATTAGGCCAATGACAATAATAATTTGGCAAACACGTAATTCTCTATAAAACGGACAAACTAAGAGGAAGTGATATTCATTTTCAATGACATGCATATTACATTTGGTACAAATTCTAAGGTTTCTTTCTATATTTCTATGTCTTCCTTCTTCTATAAGTAAGTTTTGTGCAGAGCATCTAAATCTGGTCAAACTAATTATATATGATTTTCATTCTTAACACAAGAAATATATTTTTCTGGTTCAAAATCTGTTTTCAGTAAACAATACGTTTCAAGTTTAGGTTGAGTTCTAAGATCAGAAAACCAATGTTGTAAATATTGGTCATATATGCGTTGTATTACATTTTGAATTTGCACATTAGACAAAGAAACATTATTCCATAGATATGTAAATCCAGTATCATCTAATATTTTTTTAACATTTTTCGACCACATATATATATGATTGCCATGTCTATCACGCAAATTAAATAATTTGTACATAATTGAATCTGGATTTTTCGTAATTTTATACCAGTAACGGATAATTCTTATCTTACGTATAATAATCATAGGGAATCTACCTAATTCCCCGTATATTGCGTAGCATTGGGTGTTTGTTGTCTTACTTGCAATATTGTTACTAGTGTTTTTACGATTCAATGAACGAATAAAGCAGGTTTTTGTGAGCGGCCGTGAGTGTTAATTCTGTGTTAAAAAAATTGCTCTTATTGATGCCTAGAAATTTGATTCTGAGACCTTTTACTAAGTTTTCATTAATTAATATTTTTAAAAGTAAATCTGATTCCGGCTCCTCTTCTTGCACACTTGTTAATAACTTTTTTTATACATAAATTTAGTGTTGCCCTAGAAATAATTTGGTTTCAGTGTTTTGTTTATTGTAATATTTCATTAGTCTGCTTAACAAAAACAACATTTAATAACTATACTAAATTTCTGTACTTACAACAACATACCTACTCTCTTGCATTTTCAGAAATTAATCATCAATATGATAATAAGCAGATTCATATATAAGCTATTATCTAGTGTTAAACCTTAGTTTAAGTTCGACCTAAGTCGATATATAGATCACACATATCTTGATAAACTTGATAAATTGTGATAAGTGATTTTCGAAAGCACATTTTAAAAAAGATGAATGACAATTTATGGTGCTTATTTGAAAGAAATGCTTTCTTTTTCTTCTTTGTCTGAATTAAAAAAACAAAGTTTACCTTCATTGTCTAAGATGCTTCGCAATAGGTTAAAAATTTCAATTTCAAACATAAAATCATGCATATAATATTAGTATGTAAAAAGAATGTTTGCCCAAACACCAAGATTTTATAATTACATATTTTCTTACCGATTTTTTATTTTATTTTTTATGCTTCTTCTTGATTGTCATATAAACTGCATCTGTTCATGTGTTTGAGAATTGTAACTTCCTGTTATCATGGCTTATTTTATCGTACTCTGTTAATTAAATGGGGCCATCAAGCTTGAATTCCATGAAAGTGTGAACAATTATAACATAAACCAAAAAGAAAACATATCGTTTGGCAGACTAATGTATAAGTTATCTGCCCTTTAAATGTCCCGAACTTGCT